TATATATATATATACACGCGCGCACGCACGCACACACACAAATACACAACATAACCGTTAATATTGTAAAGGCACGTATCTTATAAGATTTAGTTTGTAAAGTAAACCTTCTCTGTTGTTCCACATTGCAGTTAACACCGCTCCTGCGATGACTAGCTGCTCGGGTAAGCTGAAAAGCATTGTAGGCGGAACGGAACGGGACACTATTGAAGCATCATGCATGGACACAGGATCTCCTTCAACTGTCTGGACCAATATTGCGTCCGACCCTACTGGTCAGATTCAATTTCAGGTAAGGTATTACACTACTAACTGAGAAACGTCTGTATATTTTTTCTTAGCTGAAAATTAATGTGCACTGATGTGTCATATAAGTGTGGTTATGGATATGTGTTAACATTCTTATAGATTTCTCCTACAGTTTTTATCTTGATTCATTTTACTGATTGGTGTAACACTTTTTCAAGGTTGATTGGGAAACCAGTTTCCAAGGCCCAAGTGCAACAGACTGGCCCAGGCAGTACTACATACACGACCACGGGATAGGGGTGATCTCAGCATCGGTGGACTGGTGGCTGGAGAGAGCTCGAGGTGGGTAACTTCAAGTATTATGAAGGTTTTAAATCCCTGGATTTTAAAACCTCCGGTGTCTTCAACACATGAGGCAGTCACAGCGTTCCAGCAGGTTCGGTCAATTGTCAGTCTCACTACGTATACATCCTTCCAGTTCAGATTATATCTTCCAGTACTGTTTCTAGGTCCCTCTCCATTGTTAATTTGTAGTCCATCTTAGGCCTACCTGGATTTTGTCATTGAAATTTTGCCACCGTTGTGTTTTGACAGAATTGTGGCTGTTTTCAAGCACATCGAAATTATGTGACAGCATCAAATCTGTTATATGCATAGATTCAACATCTTTTGTATTTCTTTGACAAATTTTCTGGATTTGATTCAGGTGGCACCAGGGTCAGCAGTGGCACACTGTCCTGTGCGGACGGTGGCATCAGTAGAGACAGTCCTAACCCATCCCCGTATTGCAACTCAACTGTGACCATGGCGGTCCCACCGCAGCATGGGGACAGGTATGGGATAACTAATGCTTTTAAAAAGCCCCTGTCACACATTCAGAACCTTCCATAGACTACCAACCAAGGTTGGCTGAAGTTCGGAAACAGTCTCGAATCTGAGCAATCGAATTTGAGTTAAATTTGGGTCGTCAAATTTGACGGCCGACGACACCTACTCCCGAGCACCAGCTAACTACCAGTGATCCATATTCGGCTATGTGGGGCTTGATATTGCATGTTTTATGGCAGAAGTATTAATTTCTGAGCAATATTAAATGGAAATATATATCACTGCCATATAACTATAGACCAATACCTTAACCGAATGACTAAGATCGTAACCTGCGTATTGTAAATATTTCAAAATAATTTGCTGTTTTTAACTGTTTTAATACTTGCTTGTAATATTTAAGTCAATCGTATTTAAACACTTATGTAATGCGGCAGATCAATTCAGGGTCCTACGGGGACCCTGCCACTCTGTATCGTACGGTCAGAATGAAATAAACCACTATTATTATTATTATTATTATTATTAAGCTATTTTTCTATTAAAGTGGTGCCAGGACCTTAATAATACAGTGTTTTTGCTTTGAACACATTTTGCAGCCTCTTCTACACTACCAAGTCAACAAACGGTGGATACGTCAAAGTGCGGAACTATGACCGCACGTCGGGCTACACCGTGAACCCACCGGTCTACCTAGCCGGACGAGAGGTCTCCCACACCGCCCACTTTACCTTCGACACCCGGTCTCCTCACCACTGTTCTAAGTCAGGAGGATGTGCGGACAACATGCTGGACAGGGGACCGGCGATTACTAAAAATGTACTTTAAATGTTTTCTGCGTTGGTGCAAGTTTGTTTCTATTTATAGTCATAGGGTAGAGACTCCGATCTGGTAGAGATGCCAATTATTATTTTTCGTCAACAGAGACTCCGATCACGATGCTGCTAATGTGTTACGGTGTCTTTCCTTTTAAAATGACCTAAACTTCAAGTGCCCCAATGATCCTTAGTGACAGGAATCAAAGTTGAAAAGTTATGACTTAAGCGAATATCTTAAAAGATGAGGACTCCAATCAGAATCGGCTATTCCACCGGTAGAGATGCCGATCGGACATACTTTTTGTTACTTTGTAGAGCTATTAACTTGAAAAGTTATTTCAATAAAAGTATGTCTTTGCATCTCTTCAAATGCCCAAATTAATATTGATAGTGTTTATACAACTCTTACTAATGTATGGTGATTTTTAACTTTGCTAACATCAGGGCAACATCCGTCTCCGCTGGTCTGACTGGAGTGATGACGACTCGGGCATCAAGCAGTACGTGTGTGAAGTGTTCCTACTGGAGCGGTCAGGGGAGGAGCTGCAGGAGAAATACCCCGCCGTCGCTGTTGGGAGACACGGACCTGATACTACAGAAATGGACGTGGTACTGACTGAAGCAGGTGATACATCTTTATGATGATGACTGTCACATCACATTGGCATCGCTAACACATAAATAAAAGTAGCCTGGTTACCAAACCTATTCACGGGATGTAGGACTCGGGAGCTATAATAGGTTTGGTAACGAGCTGGCTAAAAGAAAATAGCTAGATCACAATGACGCCCGAATGACAATATGAACAACAAGAAATGCGAGGTTTCAGACTTCCGTGAATCATGCTGAGGATCGCGAATGCAGCCCTCAGCTTCCTGAATTTCCTCATGTTTCTCGGGCAGTACATGTTGACCACCTGTCAGCTGCAGTCTGCTTGTCAATCTTTCCCAACCACGTGCTGTCAACCTACCATATCAGGACCAACAAATATGACCAAAGTAGAACATAGCATACCTGGATACTGACCTAGGATATTAGAGTTTTCTTTTACGAAACCAATACTAGCTGTCTCTCACCTGCTTACTTTTCTATGTCTATCAGACACCTTCCTCAGAGCTTCTGACTGGAGTGCTGGTTATAATAAACCCTATCCATCTATCTATTTGTTCGCCCAGGTGTGTACAGTGTAGTCCTGACCGTAGAGGACTCATCCGGTCCGAATGACGGAAACTTCATCACCGCCCGACGTTTCCTCATCTTCGACAACAACAGCACAGTGGAGACCGACACATCAGGGCACTTCCCACTGTGGGTGGACTCAGTCGCCAACAACTCCGCTTGGCAAACTGATTTGCAGGACGTTGCAGGAAATGGGCCAAAGGTAAGGGCTTGGAACTCGTGCTGTATAGTAGTTAAGCACTTGGAACTCGTGTTCTATACTGTAGTACCAAGAAATAAATGACGAAAGCTAGCGACAGGAACTTGTGGAGACATTTAGACTGCTGCGTCACCTGACTGAAAATGAACTGAACTGAACTGAAGAAATAGTTATAACCACTTTCTTTGCTCTGTTAGGTACAAGTGAAGTGGTCGGGTCATTTCTTCAACAGCCTCCATCGCGATAACAAGTTCCTGAACCCGATAAAGGAACACCATCCTCCCATAACAACCGGATATGAGGAGCTGACAGGTACGTTTTAATTATGGTAGTTTGTAAAAGTTAAAGATAGGTACAGGTAGTCCAGTGGCCTTTTGAGGCCGCAGGGGCGGTGGTTGTCAATACACTGTGTCCAGGTCACTCAGTTCCACCGCCTTTTACCTCCCGAACCGAAGTCAGGTACCCATTTTACACCTAGCCTGAATGCCATTTTCCGTATTTTCCACCGGCCGCTCCCAAATGTCGCTGGCTACATTAGGGAAACGGCGGAAACTTGTACAACGGAGGATGGCACCCAGGCTATGTTACACGTCTTATACCTGGATGAGGCGAAGAAAGTGCCTTGCACAAGGACACAAATAGTCACATGTGTGGTTTCTGTGTTTTTTCATGTGACCCAGGAGAGTTCTCCACAAAAGTGGACAGCTCTGAGTATTGATTTTTTTTCTTACCCAGGCCTTCCCCCGGCGACCAGGTCCCGCGAGGCCGTCCCTAATGTAGCCGGCATCGTGATATACCAGACCGCGTGGGGAGTGGACCATCAGGGAGGGCGGACTCTCACGGCTCCTGCTGACAACTGGGATAGCGGCACGGATGTGTTGGTAGGCCTCAATCCCCAAGCAGATCCTACGTACAGTGGCAAGGCAGTATACATATCCATTGGCTAAGCAGTGTCCATTATCCACCGAAGTAATGGCCACTCCTTGGTCACTCCTCATGCCAATGGACACTGTCTTGCCATCGTGTGATCTGCTTGGAGATTATATAGGCCCTAGATTTCCAGGGAGGATGAAGAGAGGTTGAATTGAAGTTCTAGTTTGGGGGCTATTACTAGTATTAGTCAAGCAATGAATAATCTTTATCTTCATTCCAGTGAAGCTTTTTACTGCATCTTATTCTTCATTGTCATCATCATCATGTTTGCTGCAAAGGATTTGTAAAAAAAGTAGAACGAAATTCATTCTATCTCAGGTTCTGTAAACTAAAATCTACTTAAAGTTAGTTAAAGGCTAACGACTGTCTGCTTCAAAAATTCCATCAATTTATTTTGCAACCGTAGGCTGAACAAAAAGAACTAGACATCGCCCGTCAAGACGGTGACACCATCCGGGTCTGGGTTCGCGCGTTTGACGTCATGGGGAACGCTGCAGAGGACAGCGTCACTGTCCACGTGGACTCATCTCCGCCGGTACTGGACAACATGACGCTCTCATTTCAACAGGGCACGGGCGCGGGCAACAACCACCCCGTGATTTCAGGCATAAAGTAAGCTTTAGGAAGGGTACTGTTTTCCGTCGTGCGCGTGTGTGTGCGCAGCTGTAGCTCACGGTGGGTTTCACGGCGGTTTCTTTGATTTTCGGTATATGAGTAGTTATCGGGATCCATATGATGCGGATTGCGGGTTCTCCCATTTTATATGTATTTTCAGGTGTTAAAATAAAATACCTGGACACCTCCTTGAAGAACGAGGTGTGAGCGCCTATAATGTTAGGGATTGTTGTGAAAGTGTATGCGAAATTATTGTATCCACATAACACACGACTGTCTACAAAATAGGAAAAGTCTCTCTCCGTCTTAACTGTCCCTCAGGGTACTGTTTACGGCGTATGACGACCACAGCGGTCTGCAGGACATCCACTGGGAGCTGCACGACCTCGCCGACACAAGCGTGGTGCACGGGGAAGGGCAGATAACTGTCCGGAAAACAACGGTCAGTGTCTTGATCTAAAATTGTTACTTATAGTTAGATCAGTAGAAACGAGGTTGATTACCTTCGCCAAGAATTGGAGAAGGTTATGTTTTCGTGGCCGTGTGTGTGTCTGTCTGTGTGTCAACAGCATATCTCGAGAAAGCTTAGATGGATTATCTTGATATTTGGTAGGTGGGTAGGTCTTGATGAGAGCTCGAACTGATTAGATTTTGGCCCCCCTAGCGGCTTGTTATGGTACTGCAGCTAAACTTCCGGTTTTGATATCTCAGGATCTAGACATGCTAGGGTGACGAAATTTAGGTGGTAGGTAGCTCTTGTGCTAGGGAAGAAGTGACATCAGTTTGAGCCCCCTAGCGGCTTGCTCTGGAACTGCAGGGCTATCTGTTTGAAAATATTCAAAAGAGGATAACTCAAGAACCAGTTGACGGATCGTCGTGATTTTTGGTATGTAGGTAGCTTACGTGATGCTTGATGTAATTATGTGACAATTATGCAAATGTGGATGTGATTTGCATAATTTATGGGGATATTCTATAAATCAGCTGCATTCCATGATAGGACTATTGAAGCTTGTGAGAATGGTAATTGAGAAGGAGAGAAACACAGGCAGATATTGATTATGTAAATGAATACTTAATTTGCATAATTAATGAGAAAATGTTATAATTCTGTAAAGATAACTGCCTGGAATTTCATACTTGTGGTATTTGAAAGTTCAGTGAAGGTAAACATCATTAAACATAATGTATTTAAATCAGGACCTTATTTGCATGATTTATGAGGAAATAATAGAATGGCACCTTTTGTTAATATAAGACTGTCTTTTGGTTGAGAATATGATAAAGACTGATATAATTCATGGAAATGAGGACCCTATCTGCACAATCAGGGGGAATAATCTATATTTGTCAGCCATAAAGATTAACATCATTTGGCGAAGGTATGAGATCGCGGAACTCTAGTTTTCATTTACTGCTCTTTATAAAAATCGTTTCATACCTACCTGCGTACTATCGGCGAAGCTCAGTGACTGGCTCCATGCTCAAAAGAGTTTAACTTTAAAAAATCATTTTGTCGGGCCAAAATTCAGTGGTATCAAGATGTAATCAAATGTTTGTAAGAATAGAAAGGACGTTATACAATAGACAAAGGCTAATATAGGTACAGCATGCATGGTTATATTACGTATAAACTCCAGTACTGATGCCCAGTGAAAATGATATGACATTACTCCATACTATATAGGTTGGCGATCCTGGTTGTCAGTCCCCCCAATGTATCTGCATCCCTAAGGACGGAGGGTGTTACTTCCACAACTATGAACTTTTCTTGGATATGGACAACAGTGGAAACATGCAGAGTACCGCTAACCAGACATACTATTTCATCATTACTGTCACCAACAATGCCATGCTGAAGACCTGGAAGATACTCCCGGTAAGACTGAATATCTAAAAAAAAACAAAAAACAAAGAGGTTAAAGAACTGCTGACTTGTAACCACATCGGGAGAAATAAGTATTTTGTGCATAATTGATAGCATTGTAAATGATATATCATCTGATGTATCTTTGCCATCCCCATTTTGAAGCAACTGAGTAAGTCCTGTGTTTTATTTTGACTGTCGTGTTGCTATGACTATATTCTTTCATTTGTATAAATGATTCAGGTGAAAGATGACTCAAACACCCAATTCTCTGTCGGCAACCCCAATAAGATTCCAACCGGTAAGTCGCGAATACAACTATTTACCATACGAAGGCGAATTGTTTTAAGTAGCCTCTACCAGACTTCAGAGGCGGCTGGAAAGAGTAGAAATTGGCGAAATAGACAGATAACATGCCAGAGGAGTTGGTCCTTTATAACTACAGAAGTACAGTTTGGAGCAGCAAACTGCACCCCTTCAGTGGACCAACTCCCCTTGCATGTTATTTGTATATTTGACCAATGTGTACATATTCATTTATACTCTTTACAATCGCTTCTGACGCTCGGTAGAGGCTACGTTTCAAATAGTACGTGTTAGTACTTCATAGAGAGAAGCCAATACAAGAGTTGTTCATAAACTGACGACTGTGTGTCTCTCACTCTCAAACAGTCCACAATGGCAAGTGCCATTGGTTCTCTGACGACAGCCTGTCGCAGGAAGAGGCCTCCACCGCCTGTACAGACATGAAGGGGCGACTGATCGACATCAACGACGAGTCGGAACAGCAGATACTTGTGAGTTACATTCCAGGGACGAGTGGCGTCAGCTACTGGACAGCTATCAAATCCCGGACTCCCGATCTGTTTTACCCGGACGGATCGCAATTCTCTCGTATGTATGCTCTTCTTACTAAACCTAATAGTTTCAATGCGTAGTATGCAAGACTCAAGGCAGACATTAACAACATGTTAACTTTTAAGTGCACGTTGTATACATCATCTTTGGTGAGTATGTTGTCTTTTTAAATGAAGCAAATACAGACGGCACCCTTCTGTCACATTTCTAAAAGTCTTGAATAATGTTTAGATTCGAAATCTACGTTTTCTTTATAACCTTGAACTTGTCACCCTATCATACTTTCCTTGCACATTGAATCCATCTGCTGTGTAACAGGCATGATAGTATCCTACAAGGAAACGCTAGTCTATTTCTCTGCTTTTTTTTCACAACAGCCCAATCATCCTGGATGTCCGGTGATCCATACGCCCCCTGTGACGTCTGCGTGCTGTTGGACAGCGCCAGTGGCTACAAGGGACAGTACCACAGTTGTTCGGAGCATCATAGCTACGTCTGTGAGTCTGGTAAGTATTTCGACTTAGGGGCTCTCTTTTCCTACTGACATCTGAGTTGGTCAGGTACATTATGAGAGACTTTAAACTGTTCTCCAAATCAAAAGAATAACTGAAATTTTCGACCAATTCACTTGGTCTTCCTCAGCATTCTGGCTCAATTGCCATATTCAATATGTTTGACCCAGAACAACATTATTTGGTAGAGGCTATACTGATGGTTATCTCTCCTTTACAGATGTCCAGCTGTGTAGCCCGAATGTGTGTCTGAACGGTGGAAACTGTACCTGGTGCTTCTCCGACTACAGCATGTGTGACTGCCCATCAGGATACACAGGCGATTTCTGTGAAACCGGTATATCATATTAACCTCTTCTCTTATCGTTGTGTACAAATAGAAACTGCCATGAAAGTACTGGAAGACCCAGATGTAAGAATATCTGATTCTAGGAATATCTAGATAGGTCTTAGATAAACTCAGAGTAAAAAAAATCGGAAATGAACATCGACAGCGTACCAAATCTTAGTCTTGTGGGTAGAAAGAGTTGTCATGCGGTAGCTCTGGGAGTTTGTGTCTCAAGGACACCATTAAAGGGCCTCATTATATCCATGATTATATATAGCTTGGTGAGTTTTACGCTTTTCTAGAAGTGACGCAAGACTTGGAAGTCATAAAGTTTCAAATCTAAATTCTTATGCTTTGCAAACAGTTTTCTGGGAGGAAAGTTTATGAATTTCTGCTAAGTTCACTGTGCTGTATGCCAGTATGCACAGAAGCGTCTACCTGGTATTTATAGTGTAATTTATCATATGTATGTTACAACGCCTACATGGCATGGAATGGTACTTTCATGTTTTTCACAGACATAGACGTGTGCTCGTCTTCTCCTTGTCAAAACGGCGGAACTTGCGTGGATGACGTCGATTCCTTCAGCTGCACCTGCGCCCACGGATACACAGGGTCTTTTTGTGAAGCCGGTAACTTTATAACAGGCGCATTTCTAGCTGGAGTTTGGGTTGTTGCTTTTTTGTCACATAGAATTACTGTTTCAACCGTTCAGTGTCATATTTCATCATTTGTAACCTGCCTTCTAATGACAAATCAAAGAAATTATTGAGTTATCATTTAGTGTGGAGTCCAGTGTATCGTACCCTGGATGCCAAACTAGTATCGGACCGTTAGCCGTTTTCCTTCGGCAGCCAAGAACCCTTCGCCCGCCTATCTAAATTACCGCTACGGGGGAGTTGATCCCGGGCTAGACTCCCCCGTAGTGGTAATTTACACCAGCGGGCGAAGGGCTCTTGCGGCCCGGAAAAACGAGTTTGGCTTCCAGGGTAAGTCTATCGTGGTTTGGACGGGCTCTCTTCGGGTCTGTAGGGCGGGCTCTCTTCGGGCTTGTAGACGATCCTCGCCGCCCAGTTCAACTAGGCTCCCGGTTAGGTTTTGCAAAAGTCCTACGACGTAAAACGGGGAGCCTAAGTTGAAATGGGCGGCAGAGATCGTCTGCAGGCCCGAAGAAAGCCCACCCAAACCACGATAAGATCTGAACACGGGGCCAATCACCATTTTGTCCTCGACTACACTTCAATCTTTCATACCGCTATATATTGACTACAATTTGATAACGTATGTTCACGTGTACAGACATCGACTGGTGCGACCCTAACCCGTGCCCGTCTGGCTGGAACTGTGTGGACGGGTTGATGGGGTTCCACTGTGCAGGTAAGTCAATATGTTTGTTTTATTTCGCTTGTGCCTTTATTTGCACTCGCTCGAAATAGATTTATTCGGCCATCAGGGCCGCTTTTCATAGGTGTAGAGTTCGTTTAGTAAATAATACC